ATATAACTTATGTTTTCTTAAGCCTAAAGGGGTGTTCGTTCATTCGTGCATTCATTCACATGTACAGACATGTCAGTGATGCACCTGGCTTTCAACATCGCTGTAATGTGGGCTTCTCCCCATCTTACATCTTTGTTTTTCTCTCTCCTCTGCTTTACTTTTTCCTAATGCAGCCAGCTTTCAGGGAAAAGGGGTTAAATGAGGAGTCAGTGGTCACCAACAACTCCCGGCACACTTTGTTCCCATTAGGGACCAGCCAGAAAAAGAGCGTTTGCTTTCCAGCTCTAGTGAAGGATTTTGATGAGAGCAGGGTAGCAAATCACTATGAGCACAGCCTAGAATACTTACCCCTTTTTTGAGCAACAAGTTGGAGTGTTTTTTCCAGAAATCAGTGAAAGGAAAACAGGGCAGTACTTAAATGCTCAGAACACACAATTAAAACCTGGCTTTGCTAAACACAATGCATCTCTCCCACCTTGTGGTCATCCCTCCCCAGTTCATTGTTCTTGTGTGTCTGGCACCCATTCTGACTCATAGTGACCCTATATGACAGAGTAGAACTAGCCTATAGGGTTTCGTAGGCTGTAATCTTTATGGAGCAGATTGCCAGGTCTTTTCTCCTGCTGCGTGGTTGGTGACTTTGAACCATCAACTTTCAGTTAGCAGCCAAGCGCTTAACCCCATTGAGAGATTTCCAAAATTATATCCAGTCATAGTATCCATAGGCATCTGATGACACTGATGTGCTTGATGTCCAGGACAATTATCTTGGTGACACATATTTCTCATCAAGCCCAATTGTAGCTCCTCATGGTTCTCATCAACCTATAAGCCAAATGATGATTTTAATCAGCCCCAGCACAATCAATATATATTTGAAGCAAAACAAATTTATCAAAATCAAAAGTGCCATTTAGAAAAAAAAAGGAACCATGCTAAACCAGTGACAAGCATATATCATATCCTGCTGTCAGTGCTAGTAAATCTTACTTCTCTGGCAGTGCATGTCTTTGGTCAGCCCCTGTGCGGGCTGGAATCTTCCCTATTGTCCTCCATGGTACCCTGAGAAGGGTGTAGGAGAGGAGCATGTACATGCTTTGGCTGTACTGATTTAGCAGCCCCTTCATATTTGTGGGGGGTGTGAATTTGGGGATTATTTTGCCATGCTTGGAGGGCTTTTTTGTTTATTTTAAGCAGTACCAAAACAAAAAACCAATCTCTGTAAGACTCTTTAAAAAACGTAGGTGTATAACTTGGCAATTTCACCACAGGAGAATTCTATGAACTAGTAACTAACTCAGTGGCGTCACTAGCAGGGGTGGGGGAGTGCTGAGCACACCCTCTGGCACTGTCAGATGGAGTGACACCAAAATAACCCCAGGACTGCAGCAGCAGCAGCAGAGGGGACTGGGTGAGTGCTGCCAGAGGAGGGGCCGCCCAGGCAGTGACATCACTAGGGTTAATATGGTTGATGTCAACTATCACCAGAACACCACCTCCCTCCAGTAATTTCATATCTGTCTGTCTGTCTGTCTCTCTCTGACACACACACACACACACACACATCACCTGCCAGTCAGGGTGCCAGCAGAGTGTTGCAAAGTTGCTGATGAGCAGAGAGGAGGGTCTCTGCCTAGGCCATTGGGAGAGGGGAGAAGCTGTAGGGAGGTGGGTGGGAAGGTAGGGGGATGAAGAAGGGGTGGTGAGGAACTCAGGGGTGGTTTGCCAGCTGGCTTCATCCATAGGGGGGGCAAGTGACACCATGAGTTACTGCACTAAGTGACACTAACCCTAGTGACACCACCGAACTATCTAATGGCTGAGATTTTTTTCAGTATTGATCTTTGGCTCCGACTGTTCTTAAAATTCTAGAAACAAACCCAAGGCCTCTACCCATTTCCTAAATATTCAGATTAACAGTGTTTTTTTGTTCTGATGTCTACCTTGAGGTAACTGAAGACCATAAGGATCTGTCACCTGCCCTCAGGTTCCATCCTGGTTGTTTTTCTTTAAAATTCCTTTCAAATTATCTTTTTTGTTGGTTTTTTTTTTTTTTCTATGCAAGAGGACCTATCAGACAGTACTTGTTTATTCCTAAAAGATCTGGGGTTCTCTTTGCTCTTAGATATTCTTCCTGATACAGTTTCTAAGTGGAGAGTGGGTCAGAACACTCAGTATTATAATTCAGTGAAGAGCACTGATCCTGAAAGATCCAGGCACCCTCTTCTGTTTTCAAATTGGTCAGCTTCAATGTGCCTGTCTCTTTCTTGTAGCTTTTATTCAGTTTGTACTATGTGCCAAGCACTTTGCTAGTTATTGTAGATAAAATGGTGACTGATGCAGAACAAATACTATGGAGATGATAGTCTATCAGGAGGAAAAAAAAATAAAGACATACTTTTTTGCCCTCATTTTCAATACTCTTCCTGGTATAAGAAGGGGGCCTTCTGGGCCAAGTCAGAGCAAAGAAGGTGAGAGACAAAAATAGGAGGCCTGAATGACAGGCCTTGGTGACTGTGCTCTCTCTTTTCTTCATACCCTCAAGGCCATCATGTATTATATTAATTTTTGTACTCAGAAGGACTTTATTCTACATTTTCCTAGAAATAGAAACTACTTGCAGCAAGGTAAACTCACAAAAGTATATCAACAAGCACAAAGAATGACCTTGTGAATATGTATTTTTTTCCCTAGATTGATGCAAAACTTTAAAACAAAATTTTATTATTACCATTGAAAGATGATGCACATAGTCCATTTTACCTCTTTTTTTTCAGATTCGGATGTAATAACTAATAATAATTAGCTATAAATCTGAGGTTATAATTGTAACTGTTTGATGTTCTCCATAAAATGTTTTATCACCTAACATGACAACTTGTTTTATCTTAGGAATATAACTGGAATTATTGTCAATCACTGCTTTTAGTATTCCTCTGACTTTCACGGTGTATCTTTATGTTTTCTGGACATACCTGAAAAATCTGTATGTGCTGAGAACATGGTGGCTTTCAGTGGACTCCACCATTGAACTCTGTGACTTTAACCATAGCACAAACATTTCTGCCTTGATCTAATAGTCCTTAAATGGTAATAATATAAATATCACAGATTGAACCCACCAGCAGCTCTGTGGGAGGAAGATGTAGCAGTATGCTTCCATAACGATTACAGCCTTGGAAACCCCATTGGACAGTTCTACTCTGTCCTATAGGATCACTGTGAATTGAAATCAAATTAGATGGCAGTGCATTTGATTTAATGGGTTTGTAGAAATGTTACTCTTATTTGTTAATTGTATATGCAATAAACTTCATTCAATTTCTATTATTGGTTTCATGTAATTTTTATTTTAACATCACAGTGGTTAAAAGCATGAACTCTCTAGTCAAACTACCTAGATCTGAGTCCTGGCTCTGCTCCTTATTAGGTATATGACATTAACATCTCTGTGCCTCAGCATCCTCATCTGTAAAATGGAAATAATATTTGGATGATTAGATAAGTTAATAATACAACTTAACACAGCACTTGGCACACTGTAAAAGCTATGTGAGTCTTTTTGCTGGTAGTTGCTGTCGAGTTGATTCTGTCTCTTTCAGCCCCATGTGTGCAGAGTAGAACTGCTCCATAAGGTTTCCAAGGCTGTGACCTTTCAGAAGATCAACAGGCCTGTCTTCTGAAGCATGCTTGGGCAGACTGGAAACTTCAAACTTTCAGCTAGTAGACGAGTACTTAATCATTTGTGCTACCCAGTGACTCCACATAAGTCTTAGCAAACTACTGTCACTTTCTAAGTAGATAGTAGAGTTATCTGTATTGATAAGGAAACTAAGTACCTGGCCCAGGGTTAAGTAAAATCAAGGCTTTGGGGCTTCAGAGCAGGTACTAAGTACTACTACTGAGGATACCCACCATTGTAGGGTTGCTACAAGATGCTAGTTAAATAATTAGTGTGAAGTAAAGTTTAAAACTATATTGTACTATGAAAATATAAGGTATTAGTATCCATACTATAATAAATTAAGACTGAGTGAAACTATTTCTCTTCCATAGTTTGAAACTTTTTAGCCTCTTCAGTAATTATATTAATAGACATTTCTATGGCACGATGGTTGTAAGGGTTATATGTCAAATTGGGTGGGCCTGGGTTTGAGTGGCTAGGTAGCTAGGTGTAATTATTCCCTATGATGAGACGTAATCAACTCCATGGTGGAATCTACTGTGAGCAGCTGTGTAGCTGCCTTAGGGATGTGTTCTCCTTCCATCATATAAGGAGATGCTTTGAAAATGGTCTTGGCACATCTGGATCCTGCATTTGGCTGAGTCTTCATCTCAGTGGCCTGTCATGTTGTCTGCTGATCTTGAGACTGTTTCTGGACTTCAACCAGTGGCTTGCTGTGTTGCTTAATAATTTTAGGACTTAGGACTGTGTCATTTTACTTGTTGACCTTGGGTTTGTTGGCCTCAGCAGCCAACAGCTGTCTGAATTAAGAAAAGCCTCCAGCTTCAGTGAGCTGGGAGCAAGAAGCAGAGCTGAAGCCCAAAGTCGAAGGGTTTTCACCCAACCCCTAGGGCTGGCACTTGGAACTTGAACTTCTAACCTTCTAAACTGTAAAAGAATACATCTCTGTTTGTTAAAGCCATGCATTTGTGATATTTTCTGTTAGAGGAGCACTAGAGGACCCTCTGCACATACAAAAATGCATGTAACTCCCACTGCAGCTTTCTGAGGATGACAAAATTTGTATTATTTTCTCCATTTTTAAAAGGTCAAGTCCTCAAAAGTAGTAAGTGAGACTCTCTAACATAAGTCTGAAGCCCCAAAGCTTTTCTTGTTTCACTGTAATATCCTACTCTTTTCTGAAGATTTCTCTTTCAGCAGATTGAACACTAATTTTTATATTAAAGTTTAGCTGTTATGCATGTTAATATATCTTTTTTTGTATAGCACCATGACACTTTGAACTTACTTTCTTTTTTTCTTTTTCTTTTTAAAGATTGTGATTGCTAGCATCATGTGTAGTTACAACAAAAATGACTGGATGGAGCTCTCCCAAATGGCTGAGGTAATGATTTCTTTAGCACATATTTATTTTATTTCTTCTCTCCTATTTTTATTAGTTTTAAATAAAGAGCTGCCATGAAATATAATACAGTAGAAGTAAAATTGAATTGAAAAATGGTAATTTAAAGCATTTCTATTACAATTTGTTTACCCTGTGTTTTCATTAAAATGATGGAAACGTAAATTTAAAAGGAATCTATTCTGCAAAAGTGGTCCCTTGGATTTCACACACTACCTAAAAATCCTTTATTCTCTGAATCCATATACTCTTTATCTGCATATCAAGCAAACTGTATATTATGATGGATGCCGTGATAAAACTTAATTCTACCTTTGAGAGTCTAACTTGATCTTACCTTGCCTTTAGGCAAACTAGTTTGACAGTGAAAGAAGAAATTTTGAATATGAAACTCTTCAATATTTAAAATATAAAAGGTTCATTTAATACTATTCTAGTTTGAATACAGACATGCATAAAATGTTAGGACAGAATGCTCCTTAATGGAACACTAGTCAGCAGATTTTCTATACTATATAATGAATCTTGCACAAATGCAAACAACTAACCATGTGCCTCAAATTTGTATTTCAAATAGAAAATATACACTTAAAATAGTATACTTATATCCATCAGGTTGTCATGGCAAATACTCTTAAATATCCTTAGCTGAGGCTTCTTTTTTTTTTTTTTTTCCTTTTTTTTTTTTTTTTTTTTAACACAAGAGCAGTCAGCTGAAGTTATTGGGATCTTGTTTGTCATCTCTAAATATCAGTTACTTGGGTGCATGTGTGTGTTTTGTTTGTTGGTTTTTTGGGGGTAAGAGTTTTGCTTTTCCTGGGTAAGAGATAAGAAATGATGGATGTTGCAGTTGGGTGGCAGTGGCCAACATGGCTTGTCAAAACTTATCAACCACTATGATTTATAGGAGCTCTGGTAGCATAGTGGCTAAGACACTTGCCTGCTAACCAGACGGCTGGCGGTTCAAACCCCCCAGCCACTC